CGGAGGCCAGAGTACACAGAGATCACATGGCGAGAGAGGGAGCAAGAAAGAGAGAGAGGAAGAGGCCACACTTTTTTTAAACAACCAGCTCTCACAGGAACTAACAGAATGAGACTCACCTCTGAGAGAGGGCATTAATCTATTCATTAGAGATCTGTCCCTATGACCCAAACACTTCCCATGAGGCCCCATATCCAAGCCTGGGACCCAACTTTAACATGAGGTTTAGGGGGACAAATATCCAAACCGTAGCAAGGGTCAAGTGATCAGCATTTCCAAGAGCAGAATTTAGTATTCTCTGGTCTCCCAATGCCACTTCTCCACTCTAGTGGCAGAAAAACCCCACCAAATTAGGGTACATTCTCTGCTCTCTTTTAACTGGTGATTAAAAGTTGGTCGAATTGTAGACTGGAAATAATTTTGTCATTTTAAAAACTCTAACCAAAAATAAAATTTGTGATGTTAATAAATTTAATCATAGAAGTACACGGTTCTGGCTGGAATATCTTGTAAAGAAAATCACATCAAACAGAAGCAATGGCAACGACCAGTCCATCACTTAGCTAAGGATAATCTCCATTGTTCAGTAATGGTGAATACCATGAAAGAGGAAATAATTACCTCTGAGGTAAGCAGCTGAATTTGTTATTTTATGAGAAGTCATAAATGTAGTTGTTAGCAGTCACAAGATACCTTTAAATAGCACTTAAATGCATAATTACCAACTGGAGGAAGACTAATGTGGTTCTCTTTCACAGATCTGTGTTTCCTAAAATGTGAAGATGTGTGTGTGTGTGTGTGTGTGTGTGTGTGCATGTGTGTGTGTGTGTGTGTGTGTGTGTGTGCAGGTGTGGAGGAGGGTGGCAGTGAGTGCACTAGGTTCTTCCATAAATGGCAATTAAAGAAATTAGAGAAAACAGGAAAAAAGGAATAGTGCGGGAGGTTTTGGCTCAGCACATAACAAAAACAGATGTTCATTTATTGACTAATGATGTTATTTAGCATTAAAAATAACATTTCATACTAAAGTGTTATTTTTATTTAAAATTCTATGTTAGAAGATAAGCTTTCTTATCTGTTGATATAGAACAACACAAAGCTTAACTTATTCTAAACTACTGAGAAGGATTTAACAAATTAAGCCAGCTCTCAGAATTATCTGACCTTAGTCCAGAATACATCTGTTAACAGAGATAATTCATGATTAGCTCAACCAAATTGGGATTGTATTGGCAAGAATTAGGGGGAAATGTTTAGTTTAGAATTATACAACATACATTTACTTAAGTATAATGCTCAGTAAAAGCTCTAAAACATCTGAAGACTACAGAATTTATTATGTGAGCTGATAGAAAGCTCTGCATATATTCCATTTGCCACTATGAAGAATGAAAAAGATCTAAAACCAGGGACCGCACATAGAGAAAGTTCCAGAATAGTATCAAGACTGGGAACATACAGTGAATGTTACAGAAGAACCCACTGCTTGGAAGGGACTTTAAGAAGGGATGGCATAGCCAGGAAATAAGCAAGAGGTAATTCTGCCAAACAAGATCACCCTGAACAACAGACTGAGGAGTGAACTATTAATAATTGCTAGCATAGCAAGAAAATGGAGCTGTCTGAAGTGAAGAATTCAAGAAGCTCTGATAAAGATTGAGGAAAAGGAGTATGGAGTCTTAAAGGAAATGACGAGTAGTCCAAGCATGATTTGGAAGATAACCAGAAAGCTGTTTATGCAACTTAAGCAAGACCCCGATTGAGACAGGTAGTTAAGAAACACAAGTGGAAAATTTGAGGCTAGAATCCAGTGAATTATTTACAGGTTAAAAAATTATTTCACAGATAATTTGGATTTCTTTCCTCTCTGAGATTATAGAAAGTATCTCAAGAGATAAAAGGTTATTTCCATTTCAGTTTATTCCTTCAATAATTGGATGGCTGTTATGATGCACTCCAACCTTAAGATTTAATGAGGCTTTATAGACAGGTGTTGGCCCCTGTGAGTCCATCTCCTCCTTTACATACCTGCCAGGAGGTAATGGGACCACCCTTACTTGAAAACCTCCTGCAAGGGGGAAGTTAATTCTCTCAGAATCACATATTCTAGGCGGGAGGGAAGGAGAGGTAAATTTACACGTAACAGGCACAATGCACACTATCTGGGGTATGGGCACACTTATAACTTTGACTCAAATGGTACAAAAGCAATTTACATAACCCAAACGTTTGTACCCCCATAATATTCTAAAATAATTTAAAAAAGGAATCACATACTCCAAATCTTTGGGAAAAATAGGAACCTCCAATTGGTTCAGGCCAGGATCATTGTTGGTTATTAAAACCATCAGGTGAAAATTGCTAAGGAGGAGGATTTTTGCATGGATCCAAAATGGCACCTCACAGATCACTTGCTAATTGCACAAGGGAAATGGAGATGCCACCTTAACTGAGTGATCAGACTGCAGATTTCCAGTTGTGGGGCAACCTTTCCCTTTATGTCTCCTCATGAGATACAAAGATGACTAAGACAACTTACTGTCCAAAAGCCAAATCCAATCTAGCTACCAGACCTAACTTTCAGTGTACAGAAAATACAGGTGACACACCACCATGAGGAAACAGACAAATCCAGAACGTGGGACACTGTATGAGTCAACTGGCCTACTGTCTTCAAGCACTCAATGTTGTGGGAAAAGCAGGGTGGGATGACTTTTCCAGATTAACAGAATAATGATGCATAACAACCAAATGCAACATGAGAAGCTTGGTTAGACCCTGGTTTTTGTTTTTTCTGATTATTGTTGTTAGTGGGTTTTTCTTTTTTTAAGCTATAAAAGATATTTTGGTAACAAATAGAAAAATTTGAGAAAGCTACATATCAAATGATATTAGAAAAGTATTTTTAAATGTTTGAGATAATATAATGATGCTCTAGTCAAACTAGAGGAAGTCCTTTATTTGGGGGGGGCAGAGAGAAGAAAACGAATTTAGCAAAAGGTTAACTATTGACTCTACATGGAAAGTACACAAGTGATAATTATTCTATTCTTTCGACTTCCCTGTGTCTTTGAAAATCTTCATGAAAAAAAACGCTTGAAGAACCTTTTTTTCATAAACCAGTCTGAATCTGCTTCCATTCACCTAATAACCCTCACCCCCCCTCCTTTCCCTGGCTCCAGTGACCACATTGTGTCCAGCTTCTATTCCTACCCTCTGGGCGCTCCAAGACAGTCCCTCCACCAGCTCCTCCCCTGAGCAATCAAAGGAGAGCCAGCTTTTGGCTCTGTTCTCTCTGGGTTCAACATTTCTCTACTCCCTCACTTTTAGTTGCTACTAAAATGCCAGAGACTCCCAAAGCTATGTCTCCAGGCCAGTCCTCTAATCTGAGGTCAATGACATGAACACAAAAAGAAACTTTCTTTCTTTACACTTCATGGGAAAACCACAATCTAAAATGACCTACGGTCCCAGCACTTTCTTTTCTCTTAGGACATTCCAACCCTCTCCATTTAAAGGGTTAATGTGCTACAAATCTAATAAACTCCTAATGAAAATGCTTGCAGAGTAATTGTTTCAGTTAATTGAATGTTTTAATTATATCAAGGTTCAACCACTTTTAAAAATACATGAGCACACATCTCTGCTTAGTATACACAGTATTCAGGACATAATTTAATTTTTGGTTTTTTTATTCAAAAGCTTCAAGCACCTTCATGTCAGAACCATAAATATCTGTACAGAGGATTTGGATCATATCCAAGATTTAAATAATATAAGGAATTGGGATGAACTGTATTGCCTCCAGGACTCACTTGGAATTTCTCAAATTTCAGCACTTACTATAATTATCCACATTTTTAAAATCTCTTTTACACAAAGGTAAACTTGTAATAAAAGACCCAATACTAAGCCTACACATCACAGAGGAGTAAAATTTCATAAAGGGTATTGAAGTAAAGAGCATAAAACCTGTAACAAAGGGGCAAAGATATGGAAAGCACACAAAACTCAAACTCAAGAGCAAATGGTTAAACTTTTGCAGGGAGCTTACCTTTAACAAGACTCTCATTGGTTTTGAGTGAAGCTCTGGAATAATATGTGGTGTATCAAAAGAATCGAGGCAGGTAACACTATCAGTTTTTTTACCAAGAAAAGTATGCAAAAAGAGCAAATCTCAAAAAATGCAGAAACACATAAAATCATAGCTTCCCTCCATTATACTCTCAAGTTAACTCATTTGCATCTCTAATCTGTACTCCACCACTCACAGAGCTCATACTTATAACTTATATCAGCCAATCAATACCAGGATTCCTTTGGCTTTGGGTCTACCTGGTTGACATGCTAAGAATTTTCTTCAAAGTGTCTTTGAAGCCCAGTGTCTGAGCAAATGCTCATCACTTTCAGGTGTCTCAGTAGATAAACATGAATTCACACTGGAGGTTATAACTAACACAGGTAACTGCTTTCTTTAACCTGATTCTTTGCTTATCTATGCGAAGATTTCAGAAGTGAATGAAACAATTACTTTTAACATATAGTGCCAATTCACTAATTATCATAAGCATAGAACTACTAAATATTTCCAAATTATTTCTACTTTACCTAACAATGGTCATATTTAGATACCAGGTAATTTTTTTAATTTGCCCATACCATGATTCCCCAGCTAAACTGGATTCCATTTCATAGAGCAGCTAGGCAAAACCTGGAAATAAAATCAAACAAATTAAAACAAAAAAAATTATTTATAAAGACAATATTTTTACTTCATCTCCCCTAATTTTTCTCCTTTGCTTTTAAAAAAAAGGTATAAGGGTATTTTAGAAGTGTGATAGGTTAGGTGCCCTTTGCTGGAAAGTTCTGAAATCTCTGTGCACGTGATGAAGGCATTAGCTTATTCAATGTTTCTGAAAGTTCACATTTGTAGTTATCGAAAGTTAACAGAGGTCCAAAGTAATAGCTGAATTTCAACCACAGAGAAATCAAACTTCTAGTTTGGAAATAATAACAATTTAATAGACAAACAAAACATTATCACAGTGAATAAAATATTAAAACATTGTCCCTTTTTCATTCAACACAAAGAGTTTTTTGTTGTCATACATTTATAACTCTTTAAAACCAAATTAACTTACTCATGACTTAAAAAAAAGACTGCCACAATACACAGAGACACAGATTCAGCACTGCAAACATTATACAAATAAGCAAAATATATAGTACCCATGTCCAGAGCTTTCTAGAAATCTCATACAACTCACCAATTTATTCAATGTTACCTTTCAGACAAAATGAGCATTTTTTAAAAACCTTATAAATATATAAATCCAAACCACAAAACATCTCCTAAACATTATATTTACTCTAAGTACAAATGGATTTCTGGAAATTGCATTCACGATGCTATCTAAACTAGATTTTATGAAACCATAAATGTATTTAGCTGTATCTTGGAGTTTAAATTTGTTGTACCACATCCCATGTATACTTTCTCATCATACTTAGTTTGGGCATACATAGTCTCAAAGTTAATAGTTACACAATTAAAATCAAACTGCTATTCTAGTTAAGTGTCAATTTTCCCTGAATAAGGATATTGGAATTGGCCCAGTGAAACTATATTGCACAATATATATTTCATCACAAACAAGTTAAAGTAGTCATAGTAATGCCCCTTTCTAAAAGTTACAAATATTTTAATGTTAATCATCAGTAATGGGTCTTAGAGACTAAAATGCTTTTTTTTTTTTTGCTTAGTTTCTGTGAACATTCTATTCACTCAACCTATAATCTGCTAAACAATTTTTCTCATAAATATATACATTCAACTTCCTCTACATTATGAAAAGAAGTTCATTAACTCCAGTTACCTGGCTTATGCTTTTATTTGAAAAAAATTGTGTAAGAACTTGAATCCATTCCAGAACTAACTTAAGGACAACAGGGACAGCAACATATTAAGCTGCACTCAGCCCTCTCATTTTACTTTCTTGAAGGGTCTTTTCACACAGGGCAACAGCTTGAGTGTCTCTTGCCCGCCCCTCTGCCTGGACTACTACAAAACATAGCCTTGCACGTAAACCTAAACCATTGTATTTTGGTAGAACTCGGTACAGTACAACAACACACTTAGGTTCTCAGCACTTCAAACTGTGAGCTAAAGTGTCTTGTTAATTATTTCTGGGTTTCCATTGCCACAATTTGCCCCATACTGTTTTAAGATTAAATAAATCCTGACAGAATTTAAAATGCAATGGGAAAAAAAGAAAGTCCTCATACATTTCTAGCAACTAATTTAAATGGAACCTCACTGAGGATAAGGGGTGGGGCTGATTGAGCAATGTAACTAAAAAGGAAAAAAACTAAAACGTTTTAAGGAAAGACTCAAATGAAAGTTTCCATGAATAATAATTGCTCTACGAGAAGTTCATTCTCTTCAGTTCTTCTCAGAGAAGCCTGAGGAGAGAGGAAAATACATATGAGGAAAGGGTATGTCTCAAAGACAAATGGCAGACATATTCTGCCATGAAAACTCCTCAATGTTTTCATTATCTCTAGCAACGTGGTAAAACAGATATTCAGCTGAAACCACCCAAGGGAATAGCTTCCCCTTGGTAAGAAAGAACATGCAGAGGGAACAGGCATTTCAATGGGCACAGCAGACCACAGAGAGACACATTAACTCAAAAGAGAAAACACCAAAAGATGATTCCAGGGGGATCCAACGCTAGGACTAATGGGGACGGGGCGCAACAGTGCATGCTTTGCAAATGGATGTGTCTCAGAGCAACTGTCCTCTCTGTCCACCTGCCATCGTAGAATAGCCATGACTCTGAAAAAAGGAATCAGTTCATTCCTAACTTTCCACAAAGACCTCTACTACAGTACACACCACACCCCTGCTGTCTGGCTGCCAGTGCCAAGTGACATCTTGCCCTTTCTCTGAGAAGGCTCACAGCTGTCAGTGCTCCATGAAGGCTGAGTTTACACAGTTTTGCTTCTTTGCTAAGCCCTAAGTAGAAATGGACATTTTTACTCCCAGCATACAGGAAAACCAATCCAGTCAACATTCTGATGGAAAATGGACCACAAACATGGCCAAGGGCTTTCTTTGTATATGTCATGGACACCAATCATAAAGAACATAAAAGAAAATAAATTATAAATTACCTAACTTCAAACATGGCAATATGTGTCAAATTTGTCATTTTGCATATTGATTAAGAAGGAGGTGCCATACAGTCTAGAAATTCATGACAAACACATTGGCAGAAACCGTACACCATAAGAATAACAAGGCTTGAAGGGACCAGGCTGACAAAGACGACCCCCAAGGTGACTTTCTTAGATACCAGTAAGTAGATCCCCAAGGGTAAAGAGCTGAAGTACAGCAGACCTAGCAACCACACTAACACCCGGATAGATGTCTGGAATAGCAGGGACGTGCAGTTCCACACAGTCCAGTTGTGTGACACAGTAGTGACTGAGTCGAAGCTTGCAGGCCTATAGAATTCTACCACGGGAGTGGAGCTCAGAGATGGGGAGCTCTCTCTCTGCACCTCCATGATAGTGATGACCAGGCAGTTGGAGGATGTGTGGGAAGGACTGACCAGAGAGGCCAGCCTCTTGGGGGTCAGCAGCAGCTCAGTGGGGTTCTCTGGCAGGCACTTCTTCCCTTTGCCTCCACAAGTCAAGTTTACAAGGATGTTGTTGTCATCGGGCAGGCTGCTGACTTCGTCATCCGGCAGGCATGTCTCAAACCTACAGAAAGGACAGACGATGACACCTTGTGGGGAGTCCCCAAAATCTATGATCTTGTAGAGGCATTTGGCACAAACCCTATGACAACACTCTAGCACTTTGGGTTTCCTCTGTTTCAGATTGTATCGGTTATAACAGATCTTGCACTCGAGCTCATCGGAGACCTGAGACTCTGCAGTGTCTTCAAGCAGCTGGCTGGCCATCTTGAATTACATGTACTATCTTCTGCCAGATGTATCTCGTTGAGAAATGGCTTCAATTAAGGTGCCCCTCTGAATATCATATCATCCAAGTCAGGCAGAGATGCAAAAAGGCTGGAAAAGTAGTGAAAGAAACAAGAAATCTTCCAGGCATTTTTGGCTTCTGCACATAGCACTTGTCTCAAATGCATGTTTATAAAGGCCATATGAAGGGTCTGTAAAGAAAAAAAGAGATTCTAATATAATGAACAGTTCATGGAAAAGGTGTTTCTGAAAAGCGCTTTATGGAATTTTCTGAGCTTCAAGAATTAGAAGCAATGGACTTAAAAGGTTAAATCCCCTTCATCTTTTCACGCATTTCTATTCCCAGGACACCGTAAGTGTCTTCATCCTTCGTTCCAGTCCACAAATATGACAGTGAGGAAGGAATTAAGACTCCTAATGGGTGGAAAGTACACTATAGAGCTAGTTATGTGCTCTAGAGCATGCTTTAGTCTAGATACAAGACATTTTCACCCTGAAACTTGTAACTAATTTTGGCCTCTTTCAAAATAGAATAGGATATGTATCAGAAATAATAGACTAATTCAGAATATTGCTGTTATAAATATCAGGTGTCTAAATACTCTCACTAGTGCTTAGGAACACACAAAAGAAGGGAATCTTAAGGATAAATGTTAAAAATGTGTTTTCAGAGTGCTCTGGTAGAGATGAGAGCATATTTAATCATGCAGACTGTTCTCACCTTCTCGGTGTAAATAAATTTGTTATATAAATGCCTTTATTGTTTGACTATTCAATTTCAAACTTTTTGTTTCAATACTCATCCTGAAAGCCATTGCTGTGCATATGCATCCACTCAAGGACAAATGAAGCATATAACACCCAATATATAGGCATTATAAATAAGTCAAGTCTAATTCCTAAGAAAGAGAAGTAAACAGCTATCACATGCACAGTTATATATCCAGATATGAAGAATCAATCAATCATGCATGGCTATCAAGAAATACTCAATGTTCACCTACTCACTTACTTTTATTTCATGTAAATTCTCTTTCTGTAGGAAACAAAAAGTGTAATACAATACATAGTCCTTAATGTTACTATTATTGGCTATTACCAGCTTCAGACAAGTGGCTAAAGGTTGATTTCATACACATGGTTCTCAATTATAAGTACTATTAGAAGGGAGCGGTAATATTGGAAATCTATAAACATTTTTATTTAGCTTTAATGTATGTAGTATTTTTGGTAGTAGATTCATCTTCAATTGTGTTTTGCTTAAAATAAATATCAATATGTATTTGAATTTCCAAGCAAACCCCTAAGCAATAATAGCAGAAAGCTGTCACAGCAGTTCGAGAAGCAGAGTGGAACTATGCTAGCAATTACAATTTGCTGTGGATCTTACTGCATTAATAGAGAAAAGACAGTGGATAGCCAAACTTGGATAATTTTAAAAATCATGAATAGCTGACTTGTAAATACATATTATCTTCCTTTTATTTATGACTTTAACTAATTTTTTAATTTACTTCATATTCTACAAGAATGCATAATGGAATTGGTGGCAAGACGTATACTTGGTAGCAAAAGGAAATCAATCAACAGAATCTTTGGTGACAAGCCAAGAAATGTAGGTAGGAGTTTTAAAAATAGAGTTTACTGTACATGAATGCCTGTATTTCAAAACTGCTCCCATGAACCAATCTCTCTGTATCCAGCCTCACACACATAAAAAGATACATAGACACAAACATCAACTCTTCTACTGCTTTCCTTCCATGTGCCCTAATACTTTTCTTCATCCTGACCCGGATCCTGTTCAGGATATACATGCCCACGTCACTGCAAAACACGACTGCATCTTTCCCACAGTTCCACAAAGCTGGTATTTCTTCCCTTCTAAGGGATGAACATTGTCCAGATGATAACCAAAGAACAAGAAGGTGTTCTATCCTGACCACCACTCCCAGTCCTAGCTGCCTTCACAGAATGGTCCCTAGCCCTGGGCAGGTCCCATTCATTCCCTACCAAACAGTCCTCCTGAGAACCAACACAGACCGCTGGCCCATCCAAACAGAACACATTCTGTTTGCAGCTACCTTCCCATCCAGCTTTAATGCCTTCCAAAATCCAGGTGTACCGAAGCTGATAATAATAGTCAGACTGACAGAAGCAATTGCTTCATTGCCACAGAAAGGACTCAGGTATGTGGAGTCATGTGAAAGACAAAAAGACAGTATGTAAACACACACATAAGACATCAAGAAAAGAGAAAGTAAAACATCCAACGAGGATAACTACAAAATTACATCTAAATGCACAGAAAGCTGGAGTAGATAAATATAAACACCAAAAGATTTCTGTGTGAGAATACATTATATTGTCAGCATCTGACAGTCAGCAGGTCACATTCACACTCTCTGTATCAAGCTTGCAAGCATTAGAAGAGTAGCAGGAACATTCTATGTTGGGACAGCCACAATTTCTAGCTGATAATTCTGTGAACCTCAATTATTTGCTTGACAATTTTGAGCTATTATTTAAAGCAAAGCTTTTGTCACAGAAAATATTCTATCAGATCTTTGAATATGTTAAGATACAGTGTTATGTGATCATAATGTTTATATTTGTAAAAATTCATACAGGGAACTTCTTGGTAACATGCAAAGAAAATACTAAATGTTCAAATGTCCAATAAAAAAGAAACCTACTCTAATTCCAAGGCTGACTCTCGCAAACCCACTCCATCAGCCGGAAAGCCTTCATCAAGTCCTGCCTCTAAGAGTGGCACTTCTGGGCAGAACCAGCGAACAGCCTTGAGCTCTGGAAACATCCCTGGAAATGCAGCCAGCACAAGTATTTCTTTCTGGAACAACACAAAACAGCATAGCGATTGTTCCTTTTGAGAAGCCAGGCTACCAACTACAAGAGTTCTTACAAAAAATTTTGTTTTTATCTGTCTCATCATGACTCAAGGTCGCTCAAAGAACTTGAGTAACAACCTAATAAAATTTATAACTTTACAGGGCTACAAGTAGTGGGAGTTTTATTGGGTCCTCCTAAGAGACATTAATTCCGGCCCATTCCCACCCTGCCTTCACTGCTGTCAAAAGCTAAGGGCGACCATCGTGACACCGAGAGAAAGAAGCCAGACCCAAAAGAGCACACACAATATGAGTCCATTTATGTGACATTCGAAAAGCAGGCAAAGCTAAGTTACACTGTTTACGGTTGCAAGCGTAAGCGGTGGGGCTGTGAAGAAAAGCCTGGAAGTAATTAGCTTACAAGTCAGGACAGCAGATGGCTTTGAGAGGATGGAGGGGTGGTGTGGGCACAGCTCCACGCAGCCCGCAGAGGGGCTGATAGTGTTCCCTTCCTTGAGCTAGGTGGTCCCTATGAGTGCTCACTTTGTGGTCTACCATCACATGTACGGTTTTCTACTCTAGTGGTATCTTCCACAGTAAAACAGTTACAAAAGAAAACAAGAAATCTATAACTAAATATTTTGGCTATTTTTATAGATACAGATTTTTCTACACACAAAATTTACAGATTTTTTGGCCGGGCGCAAGTGGCTCACGCCTGTAATCCTAGCACTCTGGGAGGCCAAGGCGAGCGGATTGCTCGAGGTCAGGAGTTCGAAACCAGCCTGAGCAAGAGTGAGACCCTGTCTCTACTATAAATAGAAAGAAATTAATTGGCCATCTAATATATATAGAAAAAAATTAGCCGGCATGGCGGTGCATGCCTGTAGTCCCAGCTACTCAGGAGGCTGAGGCAGGAGGATTGCTTGAGCCCAGGAGTTTGAGGTTGCTGTGAGCTAGGCTGATGCTACAGCACTCACTCTAGCCTGTGCAACAAAGCGAGACTCTGTCTCAAAAAAAAAAAAATTTATAGATTTTTCTATCAATGGGTATTTTAAATCAGCTTACTTTTCTGTTAATCTGTAGGTAAATCCATTAATTTTTTTCACAGAGTTAAAATATCAGTCACTTAGCGATCATCTTAATATCGATCATCTTATATCCTTAGTATAGGATTTAATGTTATAAATCCTTAATGATGTATAGCATTACTATAAATCAATACTGCTGGTAGGAATGTAAATTAGTACAACAGTATGGAGATTTCTCAGAAAACTAAAAATACAAATATAATATGACCCAGAAATCCCATTACTGGGTATCTATCCAAAGGAAAAGAAATCAGTATATTAAATGGATACCTGCCCTCGCATGTTTATAGCAGCACCATTCACAGCAACCAAGATACAGATTCAACCTAAATGCCTATCAACAAACAAATAGATAAAGAAAACGTGGTAGTTATACATAATGGAATACTATTTGGCCATGAAAAAGAGTTGAATAATGTCATTTCCAACAACATGGACAGAAACAGAGTTCATTGTATTAAGTGAAATAAGCCAGGCACAGAAAGACAAATACTGCATGTTCTCACGCACATGTGGGAGCTAAAGCAGGTGGTGAAGAGAAGTTGGTAAGGGGTATAAACACATAGATAGATAGAAGAAATAGGTTCTATTGTTTGCTAGCAGACTAGGGTGCCTCTACTTAGCAAAAATATTAATATATATGTTTCAAAGTAACTACAAGAGAGGACTTGAAATGATATCAACACACAGATGATAAATGCCCAAGGTGTTGGATAACCCAATTACCCTAAATTGATTATTACACATTCTTTTGCATGTAACAAGCACTCGTGTCTCATAAATACATAAATTATTATATATCAATAAAAGGGAAAAATGGATGGAATCTCTGGGATGATCAAGTCTGGAGCATACCTTGATGAGAACAAGAGGTGTTAAAAGTATGTCTCGCCAAGCAATGGGGAAAGAATCTGGTACTCTAAAATTGTCTTAAAGGCCAGGTGTGGTGGCTCGCACCTGTAATCTTAGCACTATGGGAGGTCGAGGCAGGAGGAACACTTGAGGTCAGGAGTTCAAGACCACCCTGAGCAAGAGAGAGACCCCATCTCTACTAAACATAGAAAAAATTAGCCGGGCATTGTGGCACATGCCTGGAGTGCCAGCTACTCAGGAGGCTGAGGCAGGAGGATTGCTTATGCCCAGGAATTTGAGGTTGCTGTGATCTAGGCTGACGCCACAGCACTCTAGCCCAGGCAACACAGCAAGACTCTGTCTCCAAAATTAAAATAAAATAAAATTGCCTTTAAAATAAATATAAATGGGTTTCTTTTCCTAGAAAAATACATATATGAAGCTGGTATTCCTTACTAACCACTTCACAGTCTTTAATTCTTTCATAAATCATCTGGGAGTAAGACTACACAAATGGATAATTACCTACTATAATTCTTATAAATCAACTTAAGCTCCTGGACTTCGGACAAATGATTATATTCATGGCCCTAAATGTACACCACTTACTACTTGACTCAAATCTCCTTACTCTGCTACTTAATTCCCTTGACAGTGAAGATGCAAACTTGGCTTGTATTTTGAAGCAAAGTCCCTCCAGCAGACATCTGTTGTTTCTGTCTGCCTAGGATCTTTTTATCTCCTTTAGATCACACTGCTCCCCCTCCCAACTGCCCCCACTTCCTTGGGCCTGCTCCCTGCTCACTCAAGTGATACAATTGCAGGTGGGCTTCGCTAATGCAGTACCTCCCTTCTGTCCCAAGGTGTGGACTTGGGACCCAGGCCAGGCTGACGATAGCACTCCACTACTCTCCTGCTCACGGTGACTAGTCTGATGGGCATGTGACCCAAACCAGGCCTCTCAAAGCTCCTACATAGAACTTTTTTTATTTGAACCTAGGGAAAGAGAGTTCAGGCCAGGGGAGATGGCCTGAACCAGAAAAAGGCATATTAAGGAACTTCCACACACCAAGAAGGAGAATAAGAAAGAATAAAGCCAAAAATATAAAGAGGAGGGAAGGGGGAGGCAAAGACGCAGGCAGAGGCAAAAAACAGAGCCATGCTGATGAGACCTTAACCAATTTCTGGATCCAGTGATTTGTGAAGGCTTCTGTGAGCCAATAAACCCCCTTTTATGCTTATGCTGGTTTTTGATTAGATTTCTGTTGCTTACAACCCCAAAGAGCCCTAATACAGTTACCATGCTGTGGGCTTTGAGAATTTATTGTTTTTATTTAGTACTACAGAAATTATAAATAAATAATTGAACAAAAGGCAATAGGCATTCCCTACTTTTAAGATTTCATTTGCACATGGGCATGCACATGCATGAGCATGCACACATACACACACATTCATGTACATAAATATACAAAAGTCATCATACATATTATTTATTAGTGATCTATGTGTGTGTTCTTCTTCATTTGATTCTTTTCTGCTCCACTGGTACCAGCCCTAATGCCACCCCTCAAGTCTGCCTCATCCTAGGAACCCATATTAACTACCTGGTATGTTTCCTTCTATGTACAGATAGTCCCGACTTACAATGTTTCAGTTTATGATTTTTGGAGTTTACAATGGTGCAAATTCAGTAGAATCTGTATTTTGAAAGCCTATAAAATCATTTGGTTTTTCACTTTCAGTATTCCATAAGTTACATGAGATATTCAACGCTTTAGAGTGTTAGATGATTTTGCCCAACCATAAGCTAATGTAAGTGTCCCAAGCACAGTTAAAGTAGACTAGGCTAAGCTATGATGTTCAGCAGGTTAGGTGTATTAAATGCATTTTCAACTTCCAATAGGTTTCAAGACATAACGCCAATCATAAATGGAAGAACATCTGTATTTCTCCATGTTCACTTACCTGTAAAGACACAAACAATCCTTTTCTTTTTTTTATTAAATAGTGTATTATACTCAGTTTTCTGCATCTTGCTTTTCCTATTCAATAACGGCTCGTTAAAGTCTCTCAATTCAACTGATATCGCCCTAAATGCCTTTTATAATGGCTGCATATTTCACCATTTGAATGTATTGTAATATATCCAATCATTCTTCTCCTGGTGGGCATTCATTTGTTTCCATATTTCCCTTGGCACAAACAATACTGTAAAATACAACCTCGTAATAAATCCTTACATGTGGCTGGTTTTATTTCTTTAAGAGAACAAACACTAGAATTCCTGGATCAAATAGATATTGCTTCTAACCTATGTTGCCAGATTGCTTTCCAAAACGGGTATAATACATACTTCAACTGGTAATGAGTATTTTTCCTACCCCTAATATCAATAGTTATTGAACTGTTAAATTTTTGTCAGTTTAAGGGATTTCTTTCCATTCTTTCTCCTCTTATAGTTTTCATTAGTAGTATTTATACATTTTATGAATTTTAGCATCTATTGATGTGATCATATGGTATTCTACCTTTAATTTGACCATGTAATAGATTGCAATAATAGATCTCCACTTTTGTATTCTTGAAATAAACCCCACCTGGTCACGGTTGGGTCCTCAAATACACTGATGGTTCTATCTGCTAACCTTTTACTGAGATTACATTCATATTCAAAATTAAATTGGTTTCTAGAATTTTTTGTGCTCTGTCAGGTTTTGGTATTAAATGTATGCTTATTTTGTAAATGAATCAGGAGCTTTTCATCTTCTTCTAGAACAGTTTAAATAATGATAAAATTACTTGTTCTTTAAAAGCTACATAATACTCAGCTGTAATTTCATATGATCCCATTGCCATATTCAGTGGTAGGTCTTTAATCACTTTTCCATCTCTTTTGTGGTTACCATCCTATTCAAATTTTCTATTTCTCTGTTAGTCAAATTTGGAAGTTTACATTTAGCAAAGAGAAAAATCCATTTCTTTTGTTTTTTCAAATTCATTGCCACAGAGCTGAATGAACTTTGTCTTTGTTATCTTCTTTGCATCATCCCTATATCTCTCTAATCATGACCCTTTTCTCAATCCTAGTCTTCCACGTTTTTCACTCTTTATTATAATAATTTCCTAATCAGACACACGAATCCTTATATCTATTTTATTGCACTTTTCAAAGAACCAGCTATTATATATATTTATCCTTTCTATCATTTTTTATTTCATTAAGTTCAACTTTTATCTTTATTATTCCTTCTTTCTAATTTATTTTAGTTCATTTTGTTTTGTTTTTCCCCACTTCATATTAAGAGTACACTTGGTCATTATTCTTAAATAATGAAAATATTTAAAGGCTGTAAACTTTCCCCCAGTTATAGCTTTCACTCTGTCCCATAGCTTGTAGAATAGATTGTGCTCCTACTATCAATTTCTAGATAGTTTGCAACTTGACTTTCAATTCCTCAATAATAAAATTTCTTTCTTATCACTTTATTTCTAACATTAATGGATTATGATCAGAGAACTAAAATCTATAAATATCTCTTTTCCTTTGAATTTACTAAAGTGCTCTTTATATGATCAATTTTTTCTAAGTAGCCCCAAAAGAATAGTCTGTATTCAAGGATGTAAAGTTCTAGCATTCTTATTAAACTGACTTTTTTATTTATTCAATTTCTCTATCTTCAAGGTATATGCAAGGTTAAAACAGGTTGAAACAAGTGATAGAGGTTTATTAAAATACCTCACTATAACTATATTTTCATTTCTAACAGTTTTGTTTTACAGATTTAGCGGCTATGTTATACTTTACATATACAGCTTTATCTTCAAATATTCTACCTCTTTTATCATTAGATAATGTCTTTCTTATACTATTTATGCTTTTAACTTAAATACCACCTTGTCTAAATCTAATATTGCTAGTTATATTAACTCTCTGAATTTGCCTGGGATGACTATCTATGCTTTTGTTTTCATCCTCAATCACTTTGCTTCAAGTGTTTCTTGTAAACAACATATTACTGGGTTTTGCCTTTTAACTCAGTCTGACAATTATCCCATTAAAACGTTTAATGAATTTTTTTAATTTTTGAATTTTCTCAGTTTATTCACATTTAATATAAAGACTATTATATTTGAAATAATTCTTCCCTTCACATTTGAGTTAACTGATTAAATTTAAAAATTCCAGCCAGGTGCAATGGCTCACACCTATAATCCTAGCACTCTGGGAGGCCAAGGCAGGAGGACTGCTTGAGCTCAGAAGTTTGCGACCAGCCTGAGCAAAAGCAAGACCCAATCTCTACTAAAAATAGAAAAATTAGCCAGGCGTCATGGCACACACTTGTAGTCCCAGCTACTTGAGACACTAAGGAAAGAGGATCACCTGAGCCTAGGAGTTTGAGGTTGCAGTGAGCTATAATGATGGCACTGCACTCTACCTGGAGTGACAAATCAAGACTCTGTCTCAAAAAATTAATTTGTTAATTAATTAAAAATTTCCCTCCTATTATTTTCCCTCATCTCAAGATCTGTGTTTTTAGTTAACTTTTAGTTCAGTTACTTTTTGTTTGATGCCATTTTCCTGAGTATCTTTATCAGAAAACAGTGATGATATCTCTGAGTTACACAGTAATAAATTTTTTTCACCTTGACAGGGAAATGGTAGTTTGGCTAAGCATGGGATTTCCAGGCTGCTGGTTTTTTTCTCTTCATGATCTACAGAAGTTACTCCACTATCTTCAGTATCTTGTGTCATAGATAAGAAATTTGCTGCTGATCTGATACTTCTTCATGGTAGGTAATTTGCTCTCTCTGTCTAGAAGCTTCTACGATTTTTGCCTCTTATACTTCAGAGTTCAAGAACTTTTCCAATATTTGCACAAGTATCTTTTTTTCACAAATCTTGCCTGGAACTTGATGGCTATTTGAATTTACAGATTCAAGTCCCGATTTTTAAGCTCAGAAAATTTGTTTCTTATATTTATTTAATTATTGTCTTTCCTCCATCTGTTCCTTTTTCTCCTTCTGGCTCTTCCATTACTCACATGTTATATTTTTCCTGGATCTATTTTCTCTTGTGATTTCCATCCCTTTCTATTTTTGTTCTGTGCTTTCAGAGTCTTCCACTTGACCAACTAGGCTACCGATTCAAGTCTCAAGAATGACCATCATTTCCTTCAATTCATTTACCAAAATGTTTGATTGGAAAATTATGCATTTCATCCCTAGAAAGTCTTCTTGTGTTGCATTTACATCTCCTTATGTGCTCTTTCTATTTTTTATCAGGTTGTCATCTGTCTCCTGCTGCTGCTCATTCCCATTGAGCATGGGTTCTATCTGTTCTTATGGACTGTCTTCTCTGGCTGTGGTGCCATCATCTTTCTTTGTTACATCATGGGGCTTCAGGTCTCATTGTTGAGCACCCATGTGGCTGCAGTCCTATAAGTGGTGGGGAGCACCTTGGTCTCTGCTCCTGCAACCTAGCAGTGCAACAGCAGGCGGGCTGCTAGGGCCCTGCTAGAGCAACAGAAGACTTTCTGCTCCACAGTCTCAGAAACAGGAAGGACTCAGTACATCTGCTGATTTTCTCCTTGGTCTCTTGTGGATCACACACACGTACACAATGGCCTGACGGCAACTTTCAATTCTCCTTCCAGGAGTTACCAACCTCTGGAGGTAAAGCTCATCAGAGTATCCAATGCATTCTGACCCTCCCAAGAACTCATCTGATGCCAGCCCTCAGTGCCAGCCCAGCCCAGCCCAGGAAGAAAATTTCCATCTGCTCCTCACTCCCCATCCTCAACTTCCACAAAGCTTGGGGTTTCCCCTGCACTCAGGACTGCAGGAGTGGTTTGGGTCAGCAGACAGAGACAGATAGTAGACTCAAGAGGAGCAGGAGTGCAAGCTACTTTAGCTTGCTATCTTCCCAGAATCCTCACCAACTATAATTCCTAGGTTTTTGTTCCCAAATATTTATACAGATGGGAAACATGAGAATTTGTGATTAAAGTTTAAATTGTGGAAAACACTGACAATAATAATGTTCAGTGACTATTACATAAAGATGCATATCAAACTGATATTCATCTCTACGTTCATAACTATTTTTAAAATTCACATTTTAGATTTCTCCTTTTTGTACGTTCTTTTGTTCCCTCCTCTATAGCAAACCATCTGACCCCAAGAATCCATAAACTGGACACCCCAGGGTACAGGAATCATTTTACTTTTCCCTTGGCTATCTGTCCTAAGTTCTACCTTTTAATTCACAATGTATTTCTACATACCAGTTACATCAAAAACCCATTAGATAAGAATTCTTCATATTTTTCTATGTCAAAAACATGCACATATATATTTTTTAAACTTAGACTTTCTTGAGTCTTTCCTATTTGCATCTTGAATTGTTTGGAGTCTCCTTCCCTACTTTTTCATGATACAACTCTTTCATTTCAAATTTTAAAATTTACTAGCAGACTGTATTACCTAAATATCCTTTTCCCTAGCACCTATCCTATAGGTTAAGTTGTTTGCAAATATGGCTAAAATCATTCTCCACAGTCCTGTACAGTGTTTGCATTGTGACTTTCTTTTCACCCCATCAACAGGTGGAGGAATCTGTTTCCTCACCCCTTAAATCCTGGCCTTGTGACTTGCTTTGACAAACTGAAAGAAGTTGCTTCAACTTCATGCCCTCAAGGTGCCTTGCAGCTTCTGCTCTTTTGCTCTTGCTCTCTTGGACCCCAGAGACCACCGTGTGAAGCAGCCCAGGCTAGTCTCCCTGAAAAGGAAAAACCAGAAAGAGAGAGGAGCCCAGACAAAAGCCAACAGCAACACCAGTCAAGGGAGTGAGACCATTATAGACCATCCAGATTCAACTGAACCACCTAGGACTGAACCACCTAGGACAGCACCCATTTGAATGAGGGACCCTAAGGCAGACCAGCAGTTGCACTGAGCCCAGCAGAAAATGCTGATCCAGACTTACAAGCAAATAAAATGCCTGTGTTTAAAGCCAGTTAGTTTTGAGACACTAGATAACCAAAGTATCTTGCTAAACCTTCTGTTTCCAAAGTAACCCAAAGCCAATTTCTGTCCAAAGATATTATTTCTTTCATTTATCAAGAAGTATCATTCCTACCTAGATTTTCTTATGAACTTTCAAGCTACCTAACCCTATAGCACTTACAATTTTGCTTGTTTCAGAAATCATTGGTCAAAATTTCTATATATTCTTCCATGCATAGAATTTTAATTTTTATAATAACTTCTGTTAATTAAGACAGTCTCCTTAAAAAGCTCATGAATTTTAGAAACACTGCATAACCTCCATCATAGTAAGGGGCAATTATAATTCCCACTTAACAGATATATGAACATCCATGAAAGTTAAGCATCTTTTCCAAGATTACATAAGAAGTCAGGACAAAAAAATTAAAATATCATACAGCTCAAAAAAATAGAGCTGTCACCATGATCCTATTGTTTGCTTACCCAGGGCTTTATTCTCTATCCTCTCTCCACTGTCCATATGAATTAATTTTATAGGTCTTAGTATGAGTTTAATTTCTTCAAAATATTTCATATATAGGTTTGATTTAGCCTGCATCATGTTCACAGAATCCATCACCATTTTAATTTGGCATTACCAGGACAGGTTATATCTTTCCCCTTTTAAAAAGACAACTTGTCAAGTTTCAACTCTCATTTCCTGGATACTCCTCCCATCCTGAAAAATAAATATTATAAACACTGCTCTCTAGCTGATGAGACAATATACTTTAAAGGACTTTCTAACAATAAAACTGATATAAGTTAAGGTATTATCATATTCATTATCCATGGTTTCTGTTTTTAGAGATGGTGCTAAATACTTGCTTCTGTGTTCAATTTCTCTTTCTGCAAACAGAGCATCACTCTTCAGACATTTTCATCTCTTTATCATCAGTTTTTATGATGTCCTAAATTCTTTGACTAATAACTCTATCCCCAAAAACATACGGGAGATTCTGGCACTTGTAGCATCATTCTTCTTTGTGACTATCAAGGCAGAACATTGGTTTCTAAGCTCAGCTATTGATAAATTATACACTTGTCATCTCTCTGATGCCAAAAAGCTCATTTACAAAACTCTATGCCCCTAATCTTATTATTTATGGCGCTTGAGTCTGAAATTAAGCTAAACCACACATGTGGCATCTACCTCCAAGAAAGCCCTGTTTTTTCAGCTAGACATTCAGAAACTGACTTCCAGTTAAAGCTTTCTAGAAAAACCATGTTACTGGTACTACAGCACCAATTATTACAGTTCTCCCTTAAGGAATATTGACAATATTTGAACTTTGTGTAGGTGATGATCTCACAACTGAGGGTTTTGCTATACCTTTTCATTAAAAACAGTATTTGCTATAATAGAAGATTCCAACTCAGAAAATCCTAAAAGAATAGGCTTAACAGATGCCAAGCACTGATTCTTGAAGGACTAACAGCTGACCCTAACAGAATTTAACCTGCAATACCAATGACTCCTAATGTTGTTTGGCATGGTAACGAGCAATTCCAGAAAGCCTCCCTCAAAGATTAAAACTCTTACTTCACCCTCCTCCAAGACCACACAATTTAATTTGATGGGGAATCATAACATATTTATTAGGATACAGTCAAGTTAATGATCTAGAAATGTAGGTTATTAATTTTGGAAGAGGCCACTATTCATATATACGGAGTAGTGATTTATGATACACTGTTTGCCAGCAATTTTAAACCAATAAATCCCCAGAAATGAGGAAGCAAAATAGGCACTCCCCACTCTATGTCTAAGTGTCCTCATCTGCTTTCCGCAGGACCTTGGGTGTGGAGCCAGGATTGTGACTACCACCTGCAGGCTCTTGAAAAGGAAGCACATAGGATTCGAATCAGGAGACCTAGATCTGAGACTTGGCTCTGACTTTGACAGGTTACATGACCTTGGACTAAAAGATAACACCTGCTTCACAAAATTGGTAGGATTCAATGAAATCATTCGGGTATAAATGTTATGCATAAATAAGCACTATATGCATGCTACTAGAAATTGAGAAGTTCATCAATATCTTTAATGTATTTCAGCATTCTACACTGGTAGCAGATAGAATATGCACTGAACAGAGTATCAGAAGAAGGCACAAAGGTTTTGTGTTTATAGATAGAGCAGACAGTAAATAAAGAAAGTAGAGCATATATCTACCAATTTTGCAATATTGTAATAATTTCTACCACCTGATGAGAGAGAAATGTTATCATTTTTCTTTTGCTTATACTATCTATGGGACACTAACAAATAATGTGTAAGTCTTTTAAGTTCAGATTATTTGCTTAGTACCTTACTCTTTATTTGGAAAGGACAAAGATATATTTTAAGAAGATCATCGGTTAACAGGAATATGGCCTGAAAATAATATTATTAAAAATGACTGAGTCTTCTCCCATTAGATTAATCTCTTTCCTATTAATTCCTTCTGCCATAATTTCCCTTGGCCAAAGTTTAACAAAACTGTCTAAGCTTATCAAGAAAAAATAAAATGTCTAAACTAGAAATTAACATAGGTTCTTTGTGCCATTTCTACAATTTTGAACTCTAGTAGGTTAATTATTTTGATGCCCACTTCACTAAATAAAACTAATACTGTATACCACATGCACATAGACACTGCACACATACACACACACACACACACACACACACACACACACACACACACACATTTTCTCTTCTTCCAAACCACCATAACTATTGTTATTGTCTTTCTTTTGGAAGACAGAGGTTAACTGATTTATTGGTCAAAAAAGTACAGGATTATACTCCTGAAGCCATGGCTGAAAATCATAGGCTGTCCTTCATCAATATATAAATGATTGATACGAAAGTTATCTTCACTTAAAAAATAGAACAATTGGGGTTTAATTCTTGATGGACTTATAATGTGGCCCTCTTTTGATACTACCGCTCTCATTTTATTACTTAACAATATTTACTTACTGCATATTATGTATCAGTCTATGTGCAAGGTGCTGGGAATGCCAAGGTAATCAAGACAAGGTTCCTGAAGGCAGAGATTGATTGTAAAGGCAAATGGATCCTTTTCTGCCCTCATCTTGTTTCACTTATCTGTTGCCATCCCAGTAACTATGCCATCCTCCTGAAATTGTCCATTCTCATAGCTTCCACAAGGTCACACTCTCCCAGTTTTCCTCCTATCTCAGTGACCACTCTTAATCTTCTCTGCTAGTTCCTCTTCTATCAGATTTCTCAATGTTGGAGCACCCTAGCCCTTGATCTCCAGCAACTGTTCTTTCTCTGTTTGCACTCTTTCCCTTGGATTGTTTCATCCATTCATCCATTCGATGAATACCATTGAATGGTAACTACCCCAGGTTGTATCTGCAGCCCATTCTTTTCCCTGAGTTCCAAAGTGCCTACTGGGCACCTGTACTAGTATCACCACAAACAATTCCAATTTAACATGTCTTAGACTTAAGTTTTGATCCTCACCTCTCATCTCCACCCAACTTGTTTCTCGCACAGTTTTCCCATTTTAATAAATGGCACCACCATTCTCTCAGTTTTTCAGGCCAAAAACTAGGAGTCATCTTTGATTCTATATTACACTACATTCCTCACATCCAATCCATTGGCAAGTCAGCCAATTCTACCTCCAACACATGTCCCCATTCTTCCAACTTCACTCCATCTCCATTACCAACATCCTAATCTAAACTTTGACCTTGCTCATTACAAAACTGCCTAATTGATCTTCCTGCTTCTAATCTTCTCCCACTATAAACTATTTTCTTTGTAATAGCCAAAATTGAGTTTTTAAAAATATAAATTAGTTTTTATCTATCATCTGCTTATAACACTTCAATAGTTTTCCATTACATAGAGATTAAAATCCAAACTCTACACAGCAAGATACAACTAGCCTCCACTTTCCCTCCAATTCCAGCTTGAACCACTGTCCATATTGCCTTCCTGCCACATTGGCCTTGTTAAGTTCCATGAACAATCCAAATTCTCATGCTTCAGGACTGTTTCCTCAACATAAAATGTCATACCAAGCTCATTCCTTCTTATAGATCTTGTCTCAGCCCATTTGTGTTGGTATAAAGGAATACCTGAGGGCTTTTCTTCATAAAGAAAAATGGTTTATCTGGCTCACAGTTATGGGTGGCTAGAAAGTTCAAGACTAGGTATCTGCATCTGGTGAGGACCTCAGGCTGCCTCCACTCATGATGGAAGGTGAAGGGGAGCCAGCCTGTGCAGAGATCTCATGGCAAGAGAGGAGGAAAAGGGTGAGGAGAAGGTGCCAGGCTCTTTTTAACAACCAGTTCTGGAGAGTAAGAACTCACTCATCTCCAAGAGAGGACATTAATATACTCATGAGGGATCTGCCCCATGACCCAAACACCTTCCATTAGGCCCCACCTCCAACATTAGGGATCAAATTTCAACATGAGGTTGGAGGGGACAAACATCCAAACCACAGCAGATCTTAAATATAAAGTCCTCAAGGAGGATTCCCCTAATTACCTCATTTTCAAAATCCCTTATCCTTTATTTTCTATTACAGCACCCTGTTTGCCTCCTTCAACAAACTTCCACAAGCCCAACTGAAATCATTTTTTGTTGTCAATTTCCACTACTGGAATGTAAATTTGAAGAATACAAGAACCACTGATATGTTAGTTACCACTGCAGACTAAGCACCTGTCATAAGCCAGCTCAGAGTACATACTGAGTAAATACTTGCCATGTAAATAAATATACTGAAATGTCTCCAAGACTCCTCCCACGCCCATCAGCCTGGGATGCTTCACCACACCTTTCTAAGTGTGGTGAAGCAGCTCTTTGTCTTGGTAAATATTCTTGGAAACTATATATTTTATAATTTAGATTTTTGATTTAATACTCCAAAATTTCCATAAAGAAATATTGAATCAGCTGAACTTCCCAAGAAATCCTTAATATAAAATATAATATGGAAAAAAGATTCATAAGTCATAGCATCTAGGAAGCCCTCAATACATGTTGACAAAATGATTAAATTCTATTCTTTATCTTCATCATTTAAAATCCCCAATTTGATAAATATTTTTTACAATCAGATTTAGGTTTAGGTTTATCAAAGGTATCATAAAATTTAGAGGATAAAATTCCCATAGGATTGTTTCTCTGTAAATGTCTGTAAATGTCCAGACATCAACCGAAGGAGATATACTTTGTCCTTAAGGCTTTTAAATTTTCTCTAAGTATTATTTCCTTATGTATTATACTAAGCAAAATAGTTATTACTATATCTCAATATTCACAGCATTCCCAAAATTATAAATATACTAAAAGCAAGAAAGATATTATTTTTATAATATTATTCTAAAATGAAAACAAAGTCACAAACCAAAATGTTTTTCCATTTTATCACTCCTGAAAATGTTTTGCTCACTTCCCATAATTCTAAAGAATATATCATCTCTTCTACAGCATTAATGAAAATGGCTACAACACTTTATGAAATGGAATATATTTCTATTTACCAAGGTCCAACTGTACTCTGACTCAGCAAAATGTGACCAATCCAATTAATGAAATGTTTCAATTAATAATCGGCAAAAAGGTTTTTAAAGGAAATAAACCACTTTCTGCCTTAATCCAAGCTTGAAAAGATGGAAAAGAAGTATAGATTAAATTTTATTGAATATATTTGCCCTGAATGACTTTTCTCAACAGCCTTTTTAGAGTCAATCTTAATGAATGTGTCACTCTCCAACACAGCTACATAATGTGGCATTATTGATCGACATATATTCAACTGTGGTAATTAAGATAAACTAAAAGCTGCAATGTTTTTTAATGAGATAAAAATTGTACTTGTATAAAACAAGAAGAAGATGGGAAAGATAGTTTTATATTAATTACATACTAATTTTATTGTGTGACAGACATAGCGACACTCTATTCCCAATAGGCAAACTCAAAAGAACACTGCTTCCTTTCTTCTCAGCCCAGGAAACGACAGGTTTGGGGGAAGCTTTTAAAGTATGAAAAAAACTCTTCTTGTATTTAAGAGGCAAAGAGCTCAGCTGTTGATATCCTTGAAGACGGTCGTAATTAGTCTGGAAAATCATCATGGAAAGAAGCAAAACTTAGGAAACTTTTGTAGTGAGCTAAGATACATTAAGTAGAGAAAGAACGTCATAGAGTAGTCTACAACAAGGGATATCCAGGGAATATTAGGCCAAAGCAGAGATAGGGTGCAGAGCAGAAGATAAAAATAGCTAAGATACAGAATCAAAATGTCCATCAACAAATAGATTTTTAAAACTGTGGTGTATATACACACTTAAATACTTTTCAGCCACATAAAAGAATGAAATCCTGTCATTCACAGCAACATGGATGAGCCTGGAGGATGTTATGTAAAGCAAAATAAGCCAGACACAGAAAGATAAATGCCACATGTTCTCACTCATATGTGGGAACTAAAAAAAAAAAATTGAGCCTATGAAAATAGAGAGTAGAACTGTGGGTATTAGAGGCTGGGATGGGTAGGGGAGAGGGAAGACTGGAGAGAGGCTGGTTAACGAATACAAAATTATAGCTTGATAGGAGGCATGAGTTCTGGTGTTCTGCAGCACTGCAGAGTCAGTATGGTTAACTATAATTTGTTATACATTCTCAAAAAGCTAGAAGAGAGGATTTTGAATGTTCACAACACTAAGAAATGATAAATGTTTGAGGTGATCAGGGATATGCTGATCACCCTGATTTGATCATTACACATTAAACACACATATGGAAATATCATTCTATATCCTATACATATGTATAATTATTATGTGTCAACTAAAAATAGAAGAAAAACAAGTAATAAGTTACATACATAAGTTAGAATTTTAAAAAATAGATAGCTGCTGGGAGACAACTTTTAGAAGCCTTTAAATTCATCTTCAAAATTTTTTCATTGATTGAAACCAAGACTCCATGAATAAAATGAATACATTTAAAAGGTACCTCAAGAAAAAGACACACTCTCTTCTCTTGGGTTTTAATTCCAGTTGTAAAAACAAGTCAAAGTTTACACATCTTATATTTGACAATAAATATGGAAACAGAAACATCAGAGCTCAGAATTAGAGATAGAACTCTAAAAGGCATCTGATGACAACTGAAATCATGAAAATAAAACTGCCAAATGATGAGCTTCCCAGGAAGGCTAAAGCTTAGAGAGAAAGACAGTATGGCCGGGCGTGGTTCCTAAGGCCTGTAATCCTAGCACTCTGGGAGGCCGAGGCAGGCTGATTGCTCGAGGTCAGGAGTTCGAAATCAGCCTGAGCAAGAGTGAGACCCCATCACTACTATAAATAGAAAGAAATTAATTGACCAACTAAAAATATATATACGAAAAATCAGCCGGGCATGGTGGCACATGCCTGTAGTCCCAGCTACTCAGGAGTTTGAGGTTGCTGTGAGCTAGGCTGACACCACAGCACTCACTCTAGCCTGCTCTAGCCTGGGCAACAAAGCAAGACTCTGTCTCAAAAAAAAAAGAGAAAATATTAAATGCTGAGAACATAAAATAATACTCAAGGAACACAGTTAATGTGTTGGGAAAAAAGAAGATAGAAAAGGAATCTAGAAGAGGATGAGAAATAAAAAGGTCATCCCTAAATCCAAAAAGGAAGGATGACCAAGAGGTGTCAAAAGCAGCAAGCAGGTCAATAATATAAATACTTGAAAGAGGCCACATATAACCACAAACGTCAGACAGGAAGTCAGACTGCAGTGGGTTTAGGGTGAGAGTTTGGCAGGGGCAGAGAGAAAACTTGGATGATGAATTTGAACAGCTAAAATAACAGAGGAAAGAAATGAGGAGGAGTATTAGGAGAGTCAGTTGATTTAAGTGATATATGGATGATAAGTCAGGAGAGAGCAATATGACCCATCCATTAGTGCTAAACTTGGACTCTTTAAATACGTCCTTTTTTTTCCCACTTGGCACTAATGAAAAACCAAAGGGTATTAATGAAATTTCAGACTGTACGCTAATGAAATAATATTGCATTCTAAAATTTTAAATGTCAATTTTGCTTAACAACAGTGCTCTAGGCATGATAAAAACAAGATGTTATTAATAACATAGATTTTTAAAATTATGTAAAACTGTAGGAAAGAAATCAAATTTCTGAACTTAAAAAACACATGTTTCTCACCTAATAAAACTTTGAAAACTGTAGTATTTGGATTTTAAAGCTGCAGAGACCACCAATATATTTTATAATAATATTTTATAATAGTTATTATAATATATATTATAACATGTAATATATTATAATATATAATATTTTATAATAATAGTACAACTAAAACGGGGACACAATTCTTCCTTGGAACACACCATACCTCAGAAGTGCCATGTAGCTGCAGTGTGACTGTACAGGCACCAGCCATAGGTCTCCTCCCATGTACCTAGAGGGCCAAAGTCTAAGGAGACTGAAACATCAAATGTCAAAAAGTAAGTTCATGATAATACTTTAAAAAATCTGATCACCTTTGGCAGATGCTGGGAAACCAACTCATTCTGAAAACGGTTAAACCAAAGGTTAAATCACAGCATTTATTCTGCCTTTCCTTTGTAAATAGCTTCCTTTCTATTATACAGCAGGGGTCCCCAAACTTTTTAAACAGGGGGCTAGTTCACTGTCCCTCAGACCGTTGGAGGGCCGGACTATAGTTTTAAAAAAACTATGAACAAATTCCTATGCACACTGCACATATCTTATTTTGAAGTAAAAAAACAAAACGGGCAAAAACACCCGCATGTGGCCCGCGGGCCATAGTTTGAGGACGCCTGCTTTGGAGTAACCAAATAATTGATAAGGTAAACTTCTTTATAATAATAGAAGTATTTCAATTAATAAATAAAGAATAATAGAATTATACTATTATTTTGTAACCCTTAGTAAAATAATTGATTTAAATCAGGAGCTGGCCAATAATTCCCAGTGGGCCAAATCTGGTCTGGTAAATAAACTTTTATAGGCACTCAGAGTCATGCGCATTCACTTACATACTGCCTAAGGCTGCTTTCCTATTACAATAACAGAGACCATATGGCCCTCAAAGTCAAAAATATTTACTATCTGGCCCTCTACAGAAAAAATTTACCAACCCCTGATCTAAATAACAATTACCAATGGTTGCTAAAACCTCTAGGCAAAAAGCAGGTGAGGAGGTGGATAATATATGGTCAGGCTCACAACACATGTGACAAAGAAAGGGACAAGGTACCATGTGCCTCGTGAGATGATGCAATGGAAAGTACATACCTTCTATTCATCGTCATAGGTCTTCCTGCCAAAAAACTGAAAACTTATCAAACCTCAGGTTATAATGACCTGCTTATAGTAAATATTGGAGACATAAAAACAGATTAAACTACACCATGGGGATATAATTAATTAAAATTCAGATTATGGGAAATTCAAAAGAACATAGGAGCCGGTTTCTTCAATAAATAAGTTTTGCAAAGAAAAAAGAAAAGGAAGAGTGAACCTAAAGAGGCCTAGGAGATTTATCAACTAAATGCACTGTAGTCCTTGATTGGATTCTAATTCTAACCCACCAACTAGGGGAAAAAATTTACAAGACAATAAGGGAAATTTGAATACCAATTATATATTTGATGACAATAAGGAATTACTGCATTGTTTTCTGGTGTGATAATGGTGTTGTGGTTATATATTTTTTTAAAGGCAAGTCTCTTCATTGTTTTAAAAATGCATAACGGGGTTTGCATAGATGAAATAATATGACATCTGGGCTTTGTTTCAAAATAATCCAATGGGGAGGGGGCAGATAAATGAAGCAAGATTGGCCATATGTTGATCACTGTTGAGGCTGACTGATTAGCAAAAAGGGATTCATTATACTATTTCCTCTACTTGTGAATATGTTTAAAATTTTTCCATAATAAAAAGATAAAAATAAAAACCATTAGCAAAGCTTTCTATCTCCACTCTCCAACATCTGTGTTCACGGATGCTTTGTTTCTCCCCTGCCCATCCACCACATGTATTGGTACATTAACCAAATATTTATTGAACATTTACTACATCATGAGCCCTGGGCTAGGTGCCGATGATAGCCTTACGTTCAAGAAACGGGTGGTCTAGATGGGGAGCCCAATAAGTAATTCAGCTATTACAGCACTAGATGGTCAGTGTCGCAAAAGCAGGCTCCAAAGGGTGCTCAGGAAATGTGGAGAAGGGGCAGCTATACCGTCCCGTATTCCTCATTCCCACTCCTTAATATTCTTTTGTAGGATAGCTAATCGTTCCTGATTTTCTACTTCTCTCCTAAGGAAAAGAATTTATTTCTCCAAGTGGCCCTGACTGACCCCATCTTAGAAACCAGAGGCTTCCCATTGCCTATTGCAGGACTTTATGAAAGTGAAACACTGGATTCTGCATCCAGCCTGTTCCCCATATGCCCTTTGACTTCTATGGTAACTACTCTGAGAGCACCCAAATACCTACCCTCAACCAGTGCACTCCTGCTGACTTCCTGCTCTCTAGTCATTAACAGCCACCCCTCCACACACACACACACACACACACACACACACACACTCCAGAGCACATATCCAGTGCAGTACTAACACCTTTGTTCCACATCTTCACTAGTGACTCACCTGTCCATTGTGTCACTGAATAAAGAGCCACGCACTATTTCCACACCAAGGGATCTATCAGTGTAATCGAATAAATGGGATGCCAAAAAGGCAGAGGAAAACTGTCAAGACGAAATTCAGGCACAGCAGCAGTAACAGAGGGAATACAATAACAGGGGAAAACAGAGCTTACTGTTCAACACCACAAACAGCATAAACTCATAGGTTTTAACACAAGAGTAGTATACATCAATCTTTGAATTTTTAAAATACTGTTGTGGAAAATTTTAGACAAAAAATTTTTAAAGGTTTATTTGTTTACCCATATTGGTTGTTTTGTTGTGGTTGTGTTGCTGTTATTTTATTTTTGCCTAACTTATATTATGAGGTCACCCAGAAGAGATTTGGTGGATTCAAACAGAGATCTGCTAAGGCACCTGACTGGGCTCCAAGGGACAGCACTGCTGAGTTACCATCATCTCTCTCTAAGGGCAATTCCAACTTTTAAGGTTATTTTCTAAAAGAATGCACTAGCAACACTGTGGCAGTTTAACATTTGACATTTGATAAATACATTCTGTGATGAAACATCTGAAGGTAAGTACCCAAATTGGGCCACAATTATTTTTGGTTAACCAATCCCAGCTCTCTCTAATGAACAGGCTCTGGGAT